CCTCTTAAAAATAGTGCTGCTCTTGCCCCCTCTATTCTATTTATCATTTAGTCCAAGCCTTCCCGGCAGGTTCAGGTTCTACCCTGTTAACCCCTGGGGGTGGATGTAACTTTCTCCACCGAGGCAGTCCCTGAACCACCGGTGCTGCATCTTGATCCAACCACCACCACCTTAGGCTGGGCAGGGTGGTGTACCGACTGGTAAGTGAGCCAGGCTGGAGGGAAGGGCGGGAGGGGGCCCTTATGCTGCCAGGACCCCTCCCATAACTGCAGTTCTCCCCGGGAGCTGCAGACATGACCTTTTCTCCTTGGGCCGGGTGTTGGGAGCCCTGGCCCTCAGTCTGACCCTCAGTGGAGAGTGAGGTGGCAGGCTGGCCCACAGGGCTCTGCCACCCTCCGTGCTCCTACCTGAGGCCATCCAGCGATTCTGCTATTGATCTGGAGCTATCCCTTCTCAGCTAACCCTGGGGTTCCTGCCACTTTGCATGCTGCCAGTTCTCCCAGCACAACTAGAACTTGGCAGAACTTCAATTGAAAAAGAAGTCCATGAGAATATGGTTCATCCTTGGGGGGCAGGGTTTTATATATATGGAGGGAGAGTCATGTATATATGTATATATACATGCACACAGTGAAGTCCAAAGTCACCTGTCCAGGTGGGAAGGGGGGAGAGGACCCAGAGCCCGTGACTAAGAGAATTATGCCAGGCATGGAGTGAGTTCCTGCTTACTTGTGGGTCTCCCCCACAGGACCCCGTGCTCCTTACGGCTGGCACACAGGGACATTGGTTGATTGATAGGCAGTACACACTTTGGGGGTAGAAGGCACATGGTAGGCTTCCTCCACATTCCCTGGGCTCACATCCCTGGGAGAGCAGCATGAGGACAGGGCTTAGCCCCATCTTACCCAGTGCCTGATTCTGGTGAAGACCAGCCCAGGCTTGCTAAGTGCCCTCACCCATGCAGCTTCCTCTCTCTCCTTCCCTGGTTTGGTCCTGGGCTGGCAGCTCCTTGCTGCTGTGCAAATCTGGGCCTGGGGCAAGCCCTGAGCTTTGGGGGTGTCCCAAACTTCCAGGTCCCACTATGTGCATTTGGAGGTGGGGTGGGGTGCAGGGAGTCTAAGATAGGACCCTGGCCAGCCTGACTTCTGCCCTGCCCTGGGCTCTGTCAGGGGAGGGGAAAGTTTGGCGGCCTCTAGAAAACCCAGGGCCTAAGGTCTCTGTAACCCAGTGGCCAGTTTCTGGGCCTGACCCTCATCTTTATTCCTTTGGTTGTCCCCCATCACAAATGTTCTCTGGCCGTACCATTCGGACCCAGGACTGGGGTCCTCTGGGCAACTTTTGCCTCCCACCCCACCCTCTCCAGAGAGCAGCCTGCATTAGGTTGATTCTGTAGCAGGGGAATAATGATATCTGGAAACAGTTCACTCATCCAGCAGCCAAGGTCTGGGGTCTGCTCCACCTTACAGAGGCAATGAAGTCAGCAAGCCCCAGGGAATGAACATGGCCTCAGCAGATCTCCTTCTTCCCCTGCCCACTCCCCACACCTCTACCTCCGTCTGTCACCCCACACTGCAGAGCCTGCTGCTGCTACATCCAGGCACCTGGTTCCCTTTCCCTCCCTTCCTGGCATTACAGGTCCACTACATCTCAGCCGCCCCCTGCCTTTTGGCTGGCTCCTTACCAAACATTCTCCTGTAAGACCTGGATGCAGTTTCTAAGGCAGGGAGGCTTAAACCAATTCCCGACTCCGTAACCTACAAAGCATGGCCTTCAGGGCCCCATCACCTCCCTCATTTGCCCTCTCTTTCTCCTTTACTTGCTGCTTCTCCAGCCTGAATGCACCAGCCGTCCAGCCTTTGCCCATGATATTCCCCCTGGCATATGGGCACAAGGGTCACTTCTGGAAATCCCTTTTCCCCACCCCACTGAGACGCCGCAGCCTGTCCCAGCCTCTCTCTCATGCATAATGCTGCTTGTCACAGAGCTGTTTCCTACATTTGCCCCCTTGAGAGCAGGGACTTGGACTGACTGGCTGGGTGCTGAGCCAGAGGAGATGCCAACAGGGAGGGCAGATTTCACAACTGGGAGGGATAGAGAAAAGGAGAGACCTGGGAATCAGCCTGGGCCAGAGGAAGGCTTCTGTGCTCTACAGATCCCTAGGGGAGACTGCACCAGCCAGGGGTGACCGGCAGCCACAGGGACTTGAGGTCCTCAAGGGAGCCTTTGTCATCAGCCTGGAGCATTGCCCTTCAGATACCCTTCAGCTGACCAGAGAGGCCCAGATGCTACATCCATCAAATCGAGGCCAATATCTGCGTCTGCAGACTTGAAGAACACCAGAGGCCTTTAGAGAAGGACCCACTGAAATTAGGGAAATGCCTGGAGAGGTTTGGAACTGCCGCTGCGTCACAGCAGGAGTGCAGGGACTCACTAGGTCTTCCAAAGCCCAGTGCCAGCCCCTCCCCATGGAGACCCCCAGGCCTGAGCCAGCAGCCCTGTCTGCTCTGCCCAGAGGTGCTGCCTCAGATTCCACATCTTCCAAGCTGAGCTCTGGGCATAGGGCCGGCCCACCTCAGATCCCCTCGGCCTCTGTCCCTCGTGGGGCCCAGGCAGGCTACAGGCCATCACCCTCAGTTTCCTATATTAGTTTCCCATGGAGACTGGGGCCTGTTCCCTTTGCAGGGAGTGAATTCGTTCCCTCCCACTTACACCGTGGCTCAGCTGTGTGTCAGATTATGGCCTAGACCCTGGGCACCTCAAAGCTGCTGCTCTTGGACCCCACTCCTGTAAGCACTGACAGCACCCCAGGTGCTGACCCCTGCCTGCCACAGACCATGGCTCTGGCCTCTGGCTCTGAGACCCCTAGACGCTCTCTCCAGGCCATTTTGCAGCCTGGCTCCCTTGGACAGCTGTGGCCCTTGGGCTCAACTGCATCCCTGTCCTCCTCCTCCTGAGGGCCCACCAAGCTTCATTTGCAGTACTTTAAGCTGTGGAATACCCCCTCCCCACCCCGTCCTCCGCCTTCCTATCTGAGCTAATCTGCTCTCCCCTCCCTATGGCCATACAGATCTGCCGCCCCTCCTGGACTAGCTGTGCGGATTAGGGCAAGTTTCTTCCCTTCTTTGAGGTTTGCTGTGCCCAGTTAAGCAGGACTAACCACATCTTTTCCCAGGGCTGATGAGGATTATTGCCTTGTCAAAGGCTTGGCATCAGCTTTCCCACACTTCAAGGGCACTGGTGGAGTAGCTGGAAGCTCTCTCTGACAAGGCAGGGGGATGCAGCCACACCCGTGGAGGCGAGGGCCACCCCACTGCCAACCACAAGGGAGCTGGTGATCTGAGCAGGGGTGAGAACTAGACAGGCTGACCCTGGGTGGTTGCTGCGGGATCATGGAGGTGTCCAGGAGACACCAGAGATGTGTCTGGAAGGAGAGTGGCAGATTTAGGAGACTGGAGCTCAAGAAACGAGTGGAAGGTGGAAGGGTGGGTAGACTGGGTAGTGCCCTGGCCTTCAGGCCCAGACCTGTGCTGCCAGCTGGGCCAGCACCATCCTTTGTTCTATGTGTTTATTTTCCTCTTGGCTTCCCTCCAGGTTTGGTGAAGCCTCTGAGGGCTGAGACCTGCTTTGGCTTTATGCCTGCTCCATATTATGGTATCCCAACAGGGAGCCTGCGCTAGAGAGGGAAAATGAGGAAGCTGGGCCGTGTTGGGGGTGGCATGTGCGTGTACACATGCATGCCCAGGCCCTTCCCTGTGGGATGCTGCTCCGCTCAAGCACCTGTGAAAGTAAGGCTGTGGGCTTAGAAAAGGGGTATCTTGCCTTAGCCTCAGGCTCTGGTTCCTCGTCCGTGGAGATGGCGTGGGGTTTCTCAAGCTCTTGAGGACTTGAGACTGGGCCCCAAAGCCCCAGCCTGCCTTTCCCCTCTCCCAGGTCCCTCAGAACCCTCCTTGGGCCAGGTAAGAGGGTAGTGGGTTGGGCGAGGGCAGACAAAGGAGAGGGCCAAGGGAGCTGTGACTGTTCCTGCCTGGCCCAGTCAAGGTAGGCCCTCCTGGAGCGACCAACTAACCCTTCTGTCAGGGTCTTTGCCTCTCTCCCACCAAAACCTAGGCCTCAGTATCTAGAGCAGCAGTTCTCAACCTGTGGGTCACCAACCTGTGGGTCGCGACCCCTTTGGGGGTCGAACGACCCTTTCACAGGGGTCGCCTAAGACCATCGGAAAACACATATATAATTACATATTGTTTTTGTGATGAATCACTATGCTTTAATTATGTTCAATTTGTACCAATGAAAATACATCCTGCATATCAGATATTTACATGACGGATCATCACAGCAGCAAAATTACAGTTATGAAGTAGCAACGAAAATAATGTTATGGTTGAGGAGTCACCACAACATGAGGAACTGCATTAAAGGGTCGCGGCATGAGGAAGGTTGGGAACCACTGCTCTAGAGGAAACCCTCAGGCCTGAGAGCCCAGGCCCCATCCTGCATGCATGGGCCTGGGGCGATGGGGAATGGGTCCTCCTAATAGTCCCACCTCCCCTCAGAAAGTCACCTGGAGTCACCACACCTCCCCTACCATCTAATGGTCCTGTCCCTCTCTAGGAGAATAATAAAGTCATGATGAAGTCAGTATCGGACTCTGAGCTCCCAGGAAGTTCCCCTCCCCAGGGGAACTGCTGCCCCCCATCTACCTACCCCCAGCTAGGTGTCCCCGAGTACCCAAGCCTCGGCCAGGAGCCTCTCCTGGTTTCCCTGGCTCCCACACCTGGCTTTTGGAGTTTTAATTGCTGGTCACAATCATTACTTCTCTTTTAATGGACTCAGGGCTGGAGAGCAGGGCTGTGCCCTGTGATGGACACCATTGTACCCACAGGGCCCAGCATGGGGCTGAGTACACTGCAGGGCCTTGGCATATATGAGGAATGTGTGAGCCAGCAAATAGCACCAACTCCTAGGCCTACACACACACACCAGGGTCTGAGGCAGTGGCGGGCAGTTGCTTTGAACTTTATTTGAGAAAAACAGAACATAAACGTATCAAAAGAGCAGACAGGCTGACAGGTGGGGACGGTCAGTGATGGCTAATGCGGGTTTGAAGCAGGGCAAAGGCCTTTACTGGGCTCCAGATTGCTCGGACTTCCCAGCTTCTGGGCCCCCAAGCTGGGCACGAGCCTCGAAGGTGACAGGGATGGTGATCTCTGATGACTGGCTGGCTGGCTTGGGCATCGGGGCCTCAACGGTGAGCGTGCCCTCAGGGGACAGGGAAGAAGACACCAGGGTGGGGTCCACACCAGGGGGAAGCCTGGACTCGCAGAAAAGGAGGACAAGAGTCACGCACAGCTGAGTCACGTATCCTCCCGCCCCCCACCACCGAGTGCCCAAGCTCACGTGTATTTCCGAGTGAAGCAGCGGGAAATGTAGCCGTGCTCATCCTGCCTCTCTTCGTGCTTGCCTGGGAAGGGAAGAAGGTCAGAGGTGAGCGGGGACCGCTTCTCAGCTACATCCAAACACGCCCCACCTAGTGGCCGGGACTCATGGCCGACCCAAACTGGTGGAGAGTTTTGGGGCCCGCCCCTCCCGGC